TGGAGAGACAGGGCGAAGTTACCACCTTGCCCACCCTTTCTTTCCTGGATTGTGCTTCAGGTGCTGTTCTCCCCAGGATCAGCTGACCAATTAAGAAAGGGTTCCCCCAACTTGGGAGAAGAGTTGACATCATTAATATGGTTACTCATTTAACAAGCTTTTAGTTGCTGTGTTGACTTAGTCCTGAGATTCCAAGATTGCAACATACTCAGTGAAAATTGAGTGAAATTTAAAGTGAATACAATCATTAAGCCAAGAAAGGAAAGCCAGGCTCTGCCTGGTAATTATAGGGCTTTCTTAGTGTTTTCTGCTATCAGAATATTTGATAAAACAGCACTTAATAGCTTGCCTAGATAAACGGCCTTCATACCTATGGGGTCACAGCTTTCAAAGCATCAGATCACCTGTTTTTCTTTTACCATGTTGCTGCCAAAATGTCAATAAAAAAGCATTTGCAACACAAAGGAGAGCTGTATTTATCTTGAAATTGCAGTAGTAACAATAGCCCGTATTTATACAGCAGCTTTCTTTTTGAGGAACTGAAAGTGCTTATTGCCTATTTGCACCTCGAGGAGCTTTATGTATATTTCCGGGTCTCAAGTGCAGGCCAGACTTTTAAGGTTCTCCTCAGGACACTGGTACTCTTGCTTCCTTCCACACCTTCAACATGAGGAACTCCCAGCCTAGGAATTCGGAGGAGACAATCAGCACAGATTTTTCTCTCTCCGGGCCATGCCCTGGGAACATCTGACAATCTTCTGACCATCCATGTCACTGTGTCCTATCTGGTCTTCCAGCTTTTGCCAGTGATTCATCACTTATAGTCTGCTTAGACTATTGTCTTCTCATCATCTTTGCATTGTGCCCTCTTAAGCGAGCTCATTAAACATATTTAAGAGCATGATAGTTCCCCAGTCTATCCATTAAAGTAATAGCTGAGTTATGTAAACTCTAGTGGTCCTTGAAGGAACCAGCTATGTCATGCCAGATGGAAAAGGTTCGTGGTCCTAGCTCTGTTCCCCTCTACCTTCAGATCATATTTCTATTATGGTTTTGTCATTGAGAACAGAGTTGCAGTCCATGGGAAGTTGCACACATGTGGAGCAGGCATGTATGCAACACCTGTTAGAAGTATAGCTTTAGCAAATTCTAGGCTGGGCGCAGTGGCTCACAACTGTAATCCCAGCACTTTGGAAGGCCGAGTCTGGCAGATCACGAAGTCAGGAGATCCAGACCATCTGGGCTAACATGGCAAAACCCAGTCTCTACTAAAAATACAAAAATTAGCTGGGCGTGGTAGTACACACCTGTAGTCCCAGCTACTCAGGAGGCTGAGGCAGGAGAATCGCTTGAACCCTGGAGGCGGAGGTTGCAGTGAGCCAAGATTGTGACACTCCACTCTAGCCTGGGCAACAGAGCAAGACCATGTCTCAAAAAAAAAAAAAAAAAAAAAAAAAAAAAAAAAAAAAAAAACAAAAAAAAAAAAAAAAAAAAAAAAAAATTCAAAGGCTCTATGACCTTCCCCAGCATCTCAATATTCTGCTTATAAGAGTCTCCAAAAAATAGGAGACTTTCCCAGTATGTTAGGAAGATACAAATGACCACCAGAGATCATGCTTTACAAAACAGAAATATACGTGTCACAGTAACTGTGTTGACCTTCATATTGGAGGCCTGTGTTACAGACTCTGCATTGCTAGGATGCTGTTGGGTATATACCATTGATACATATGCTTTGGGTTTTTTAAATAGTGTTGTTTACTGTGCTGTCTGCCTGTTTCTAATCAGCTGACCAAGATAAAGGGTATTGCTCAAGGCCAGGGAATAACTTACTGGCTGGGAACAGAGGCCAAGGCAACTTTGGCCTCCTTAGCATCAGGTTGCAACCAACTCCACTGACCAGTCCCAGGTACTAGCTAATCATAGTCATAAACAGTAACTGTAGATCCTTTTCACATGAGGGCTAGTTAGTAGGGCTGTTGAGAAATGTGAGTGTTGGTTATTAGGGCGATGAACCCCTGGGCACATTTCTATAGATCCCAGTTCATGGGAAAAGGATTGCCCTTCACAGTCAAGACTTTTCATATTTAAAGCCATTCATCAAAGCAGTAAAATCTAACTTGAAAGTTTGGGGAACTTTTTGAAGCTATAATTATGGGGGTTATTAAGTTTAGAGGAATGTGCATGCCATGATTAGGTTGTTAGTATAAGACCCATGGTCCTAAGAAGTTTTATAATCTCTGCATTATCATTTACATCATCACCTTAGAAATGTCTTCAACATCCTAAGAATTTCAGGTCTGTCTCTCTTAATATAGAGAACATTTGGGCTGCTAGTTTGGCAGTGATACCTTTTTCCATATGGTGTAAACAACAGTGTGTTTTTGTGTCCTTTCAGGTAAAAAGCAGGACATCTGGTATGTTATTGATCTCCTGACCGGGGAGAAGCAGCAGACTTTGTCATCGGCCTTTGCAGATAGTCTTTGCCCATCAACCTCTCTTCTGTATCTTGGGCGAACAGGTAAGAAATGAACCTTTGTCTTCTACAACCTGCCTCTTTTCAGAAGGGATTTGAGGAAGCTCCCCCCAGCCTCCTTCCCCAGAAGGTAGCCAGAGCTGCCTTTTTCCAAGCACAGGTCTGATCATGTCATTTCCCTTTATAAGACCCTTAAATGTCTCCCCTACTGCCCAAGGGATGCAGTCCAAACTGCACCACGGCCCAGAAAAACTGTGATGCAGCTGCCACCTCTCGCCTCATTTCTCCCTGCATTTCTCTCATTTAAAAGTTTTCCAGCCAGGTGTGGTGGCTCACACCTGTAATCACAGCACTTTGGGAGGCCAAGGCAGGTGGATCACCTGAGGTCTGGAGTTCGAGACCAGCCTGACCAACATGGTGAAACCCTGTCTCTACCAAAAGAAAAAAATACAGAACTTTCTTCTTTAGAAAGAAAGAAAGAAAGAAAAAAAGAGAAGAAAAAAAATACACACTAGCTGGGTGTGTTGGCATGCGCCTGTAATCCCAGCTACTCAGGAGGCTGAGGCAGGAGAATCACCTGATCCCAGGAGGCGGAGGTAGATAGCAGTGAGCCAAGATTGTGCTGCACACTCCAACCTGGGCAACAGGGGTGAAACTCCATCTCAAAAAAAAAAAGAAAGTTTCCCAATTAGCATGAACTACCTGCAGTTCCCAGAATAGCAGTGCTATTTTTAAAGACTTGTAGTGATGTGGCCCTCTCCATCAGGTATGCCTGTTTTTACCTATCTGGCAAATATCCTCTCTTCTTGTACAGCTCTGCTCAAAAGTCACCTTCTCTGTGAAGGCTCTTCTCTAGCCCCACAGCCCCAACCCTGGTTAGTCACACCCAGCTGTCCCTTTCTAAGGGTACATGTAGCAGTTAACAGGCATGTTGGGCAGCCGTCTCACCCCTTGTCATTGTCCCCTTACAGGCATGACTCCACCCTCTTCACTGCACTATTTTCTGTTTCCTCTCTCTTCAGCCTCTTTCTTCTTAACACTTGACACTGCATATTTATAAATCATATGTGCCTGCTTCCTGCCTCCCTCACTAGCGTATCAGTTCCCTGAGGGTAAGACTTTGTTTTGTTCACCTGCTATCTCTCTACACCAGGCATATTGCCTGACATGTAGCAGGGGCTCAATGTTTGAATGTATGAATGGGTGGGCCCCATTCATACATTACTGCAGAGATCTGCCTTACTCATTATCATACATGCAGCACCTCACATATGTTGGGGATGCCATGAAAATTGTTGAATGATACTAACAACTAAAAGGAAAAACAAACAAACAGAAGACATTTAGAAGGAAAAAATTATGCTAAAAACCTAGGATGAATTCATTACAATTGAGTACTACATTTAGGTCTAAACTGTCAGTCAGCCAAGGATTTGAAAAAAGAGAACCTTCCTGAAAGTGTTGTGGAAAGCACTGCATTTCTAAAACTCAGTGAGACTAATCTTGGGCCCTGCAGAAGCTAGCTGGGCTCTCCTGAAACTGGGTGGAAGGTCTTAGACTATAGGACTGTCCACCCTCCCCATGTGAAAATCAGATATTCCAGCTTCTAACTATGGTGACTGCTTAGGATTTATGTGTTTACCTTTTCCATCAAGTAAAGCCTTTACAGTGGTTCCAACTTCATCCGGATATAAAAATTGTGTCGTTCTCAGGTAAAATTGTGGTGTTCAAAGGAGATGAGAGATATGCATTAGGTGGAAAGTGTGTGCGTAGGTGTGTAAATCCATTGTCTCCATTATCTATTGCTGCGTGACAAACCACCCCAATTAGTGCCTTAAAACAAGTATTTTATTGTTAATAATTTTATAGGGAATTCAGGAAGGACTCAGCAAGGGCCCATCATCTTTACTCCACATGCTTGGCTGGCCACACTCATGTATCTGAGACTTCAGTTCACTTCCATGTTACCTTTCTCCATACAGATAGCCTGGACTCTTGACATGGCAGCTGGGCTCCCTCTTGAGTAAAAATGGGTGTTACAGTGCCTCCTTAGGTCTGGGCTCAGAAATTCCAGAACCTTCCTTCCACTACAGTCTGTTGGTCCAAGCAAGTTGCAAGGCCAGCTGAGAATCAAGGGTAGAGATATAGACTCAGCCTCTTGATGGGATGAATAATGTGCATGTTACAGGAAAGGGAAGAATTGGTGGTGGTGACCTTTAGAGATTGTCTATTGCAGTCGTCCCTTGGGCTGCAGTAGTTTACAGCCCTTCCCCTTCCTCCCAAGACCTGCAAAGTTCAGTCTCGGCATCAGTCCCAAAATCTCACGTCTTGTGATCTGCATTAGGTCTAGAAGTGGATGATGCTCCTCAAGTATAGCTCCCCTTGCTTGGAGACCTGTGAGTTAAAAAGACAGGGTCTTTCTCCCTTTCCCATCCCCCAACCAATATACAGTAGTGAGACAGAGACAGGATAGCTGCAGTAAACATGTCCATTCAAAAACGGACAGGAGAGAGAGACACATATCACATACCGAGCGTTAGTCATTCTGAAATCCAGCCAGGCACATGTTTTCAGGTTCCCCTTCTCCAGGGGAAGGGAATATTTCTTCATTAGGGCCCAGTTTCGCCCTCTATGATTGGTTCCCTAATCTAGTGCTCTTGATTCTGCTCTCTGAGAAGTCCTTTCTTTTCCATAACAAATGGCCAGTTTTGTATCTTTCTCAATCTGTTCCTTGTCCATTGAAATTTGGGGATCTAGAAGCCCTTTTTTTCAAGTTGACTGTCTCTGATCCTTTTAGTCTATGCTGATACCACTCCTTTAAAAACTATGTGGTCTTCCCATGTGTCAAATAATAGTCTATGTGGGCTTCCCATGTGTCAAATAATAGTCTATTTCATTAGATAAAAGCCATACCCACAAGCCTCTAGACTTTGGAATGTGAGTGCTATTGGACAACACATGGTTCTTTTTTTTTTTGAGACGGAGTTTCACTCTTGTTACCCAGGCTGGAGTGCAACGGCGCAATCTCGGCTCACCGCAACCTCCGCCTCCTCGGTTCAAGCAATTCTCCTGCCTCAGCCTCTCGAGTAGCTGGGACTACAGGCATGTGCCACCATGCCCAGCTAATTTTTTTTGTATTTTTACTAGAGACAGGGTTTCACCAGGTTGACCAGGATGGTCTCGATCTGTTGACCTCGTGATCCACCCGCTTCGGCCTCCCAAAGTGCTGGGATTATAGGCGTGAGCCACTGTACCCGGCCAACACATGGTTCTTAGAACTCCCTTGATGTAGACGGTCTATGATGGGCCACCTTAAAATCTTTCTGAGGTCTCAAAGATGGATCTTGCAGCTTCACCCTTGATTTGATTGATCTTGACCCTGAGTCCGTTGTTGTTGTTGTTTTTTTTTTTTTTTTTTTTTGCTCACAGTACCCTGGATTTGGTCTTTGCCCTGAAGTTATTTTTTACATTGAGAATCTTTTCCAATGATAGTAAGTCCTGGCTCCTTTATATTTCCTCTGTATTCTACTTGAAAACTAAATGATTTCTTCCATAGCTCATTTATCTCACAATATATCATACACAGTTAAGAGAAACCATTTGACATTTTCTGCCTTCTGTCTAGAAATCTCCTTAGCTGGCACCCTCCACAAGCTGGGTCGCCCCTTTTCCACTTTGAATAGCAGTGTCCCTCTCTGCGCTATCAAGTCTCCACTAACCTTCTTGTCAACCTCCCAGGCTCCATATGCCAGCTGGTCCCAAAGTCAATGCCACGTTTTAGGTGTTTGTTATGGCGCTATCCTGCTTCTAGGTGCCAGATTCTAATAACAGCAATCATTGCTATGTAATAAGCCACCCCAAAGCTTAATAGCTAACAACAACAGCCATTCTATCACTCACGATTCTGTGAGCCATGAGTCCAAGGGCATAGCGGGGGTGGCTTGTCTCTGCTTCCACATGCTGTCAGCTGGGTTCACTCATGGGTCTGGGACTTCAGTTCTCCTCACATTGCCTTTCTCTGTCTACGGATAGTCCTGACTTTAGCATACAGTTTACCGAGGATTTGTTTGTTGTAATTAGATAAGGCCCACACCTCAGTAGGGACTGTGGCCCCTCTGTGGTAATGGGCTGACTGGTCTGTATTCTTTAGAATATACTATCACCATGTATGATACCAAAACCCGAGAACTCCGATGGAATGCCACCTACTTTGACTATGCAGCCTCACTGCCCGAGGATGACGTGGACTACAGTAAGTGCTCTGGGCTGGATTTCACAAGGTTGGGCCTGTACTTTTGACCTATGTGGAAACAGTTGCTCCAGAAAGTAAGGATTTTCTTTTAAGATACTCTTTGTCACCAGGTTCTTTCTTTCCATGGACTTTCCATGAACTTATTGCAAATACTTCCCACCATAAATATGCAGGGACCTAGGTGAAGTCTGAAAGGAAACCAAAGTAAAATGGTGACAAGCTTAGCCAGGGAGGAAGGAGGACACACCTTGTAGAGTCTCTCTCTGTCACAGAAGGAATTGACTGCAAGCCCATGGAAAAAAGTAAAATCACCATAGGACATTAACAACCCTGTCAAGAAGGCCACTCTCCAAATGTGGCCCATCCCAAGAGAATGTTGTTTCTCTAGTTAACATTCACCCAGCTCACATGAAAGCCGAAAACCGATTTCGCCACCTTAACATTGGTATCACAGTTGGACTCTGCCTTTTCTGGTCAAGGACCTAGAATATTTTCGTTTTTCTCTGAGGACTCCTTTGTGAATCAGATGGATGAGTGTCAATGGTTCAGGTCTGACTTTCAGGGCGTTTTTCTGTTTTTTGGGTGTTTTTTTTTTTTTTTTTTTTT